TCACTCTCACACACTCACTCACTCTCACACTCACTCTCACACACTCACTCACTCACTCACACACTCTCACACACACTCACTCTCACACACACACTCACTCTCACTGAAAAAAACAGTCACTCTTTTATTGTTCACAGAGATACACAAACAGAGATACACAAACAGAGATACACAAACAGAGATACACATGACAAACCTCCATCTATTCCTCCTTCTTGAACTTCCCGTTGATGTAGGGCACGTAGTCCAGGATCACCCTCCAGTCTGTGAAGTGAACGAGAGCGACTCCTCCGACTCCGCCCCAGACCGCCAGCGTGGGAACCCTGGAACCACACACACACCGCTGTATCACATCTCATACACACACTCATAAGGCCACACTCACAGACCGGGCTCAGATTAAGCCAGGATTAATCTTAGTTCAAATAAGTCGCTTTAATAAACGTGCCTTAGAAACAAATCTTGAGACAAAACAATAACACTGATATATTTTAAGATATGCTTTCAGTTAAAACAGCTCAAACATGCATTTTAGGCTTAATAGGGATGCACAATATATCGGCCACCATATCGGTATCGGCCGATATATGTTCATTTCAATGTTATCGATATCGGCCTGATTAGAAAATTTGGCCGATATATTAAAGCTGATAAGTATTATTTCCTTCAGCTGAGACACTACAGATGCGCACTGTTCAACATGATGGTTTTAAATCGATTGAAATATGATTGGAATCACTTAAAAAAAGGAAAATAGAGTAAAGTGCAACACATCGGTCATATCGGCTACATAAAATTATAATGAGAACATCATAATTGTGTGTTTGGGATGTGGCTTTTATTGATCAGGCTCTCAAAATTAAATATTAAAATTTGGATTTAGATTTATCGGCCGATATATCGGTTTGCAAATATTAAGAATTATCGTTATCGGCCGAAATGTTCACATTTAATCCTTGTCTGTGAATCCAGAGGGTAAATGATCAACATGAACCGTTGAAGTAATCAAGATGAAGTAGACTATTATGCCAGTCAGTACAACCGATATGAACATTGTTGCCGATTAATATTTGAAAGCCGATATATCGGCTGATAAATCTAAATCCAAATGTTTACATAATTTTTGAGAGCCTGATTACAAAAAAAAGTCTCAATTAAAATCTGTCCCAAGCACACAATTATAACGACGTCCTCATAATAATTTTATGTAGCCGATATGACAGCACATGTTGCACGTTACTGTATTTACATTTTTTGAAGTGATTCCAATCATTTAAAAACCATCATGTTGATCAGTGCACATCTGAAGGAAATAATACATTATTTATCGGCTTTAATATATCGGCCAAATTCTCTTATCAGGCCGATAACATTAAAAAACAAATATATAACCGAAACAATATGGTGGCCGATATATATTGTGCATCCCAACAGTAAAGATCCGAAGTTGCTTATTCTTTCCATTTAATTTAGAGCTGCATGATTCCGGATTAATTGAGAATCACAATTTTTTGTTTCACGATTCTGAACAGACAAGTAAATAAAATAAAATACGCAATTTACTAGATGTTCTGTTCTGACAAAATGTTAATTGGGTAACACTTTATTTTAAGGTGCTTGTAATAAGCAGTAATTAACAGTTAATAAGACACTTATAAGACCTTATAAGATGCATATAAGATGCATATAAGCATTAACTAATGATAATAAATAAATTAAATTAAATAATACATTTCTCAAGTATCAATACATTGCACTTTTAGAACAGCCGAACAAACAGAAATGGTAACACAAACTCCCAGTCCCTTAAAAATTGACCTTCCCAAGAGGGAGTAGTTTCCCTGATCTCTTCAGGGCCTGGACCTTTAATTAACCCTTATATGAAGTAGTTAATGCTTATATGCATCTTATATGCATCTTATAAGGTCTTATAAGTGTCTTATTAACTGTTAATTACTGCTTATTACAAGCACCTTAAAATAAAGTGTTACCGTTAATTGCTGCAGTCTATTTAAAAAGCTCAATCTGTATCATTTAAAATAAAAATCTGGTTGAGTGAATAATTCAATGACTCACTCATAAACCCTTCACTTGTTTCATTACTGGATGAATCAGTGTTTTCTGATCAAATCTTGAATTCTCAAATCAAAATGCTTGAATGATTGATTAAATGACAAATATATGTTTAACAGTCACTTAATGGTGTTAACGATACAATCTTTATTTGAAGCGTCAAGTTACTTTCAAAAGGTGATTTACTCTATTTTGATTACTATCGTAGTGTTTATATCAGAAATTTAAACTTTTAACTTTTATCCCAGTAAAGTAATTTTAAAAAAAGTGATTTTGGTGCCATAAAATATTCCCCTAAATAGCTGTCAACATCAAACACAAATAACATTTAATTTTAAGGGCCTATGGAAACCCTAAAGGGACACGGTGATGGGAGGAATCATGAATTTTAATGCTTATATGAGCCATGAAAGCCTGACTTATTAAACATGATACATAACATCAAACACACATAAAACAAACGTTTACATGTGTCAGGCTTTACGTTACCAACTGTTTATTTTTACAATATTAAGAAATCAAGGCAAGAAGTTAAACATTACCATTAAACATTACTATAAATAATAATAATAATAATAATAATAACACAAAGCAGAAAACGAAGAAAAAAGCTGAAGGCCAGTCTGTAATCATAAAATGTTTATTCTTTTTAGAATGAATTGAATAGTTTAAGAAAGAAAGACTTTATTCACCATTACTGACCTTCTATCGTGTGTATTAATGACTGGTGTTTAGATTACAACCATGCCGATACAGAAACACCCTCAAAACCACACACAACACGATTAAATAAACAGAATATGATTGATAAACTACAGTAAACAGTGGAGTTCCTCGGTGTTATCGTGACCTGAGCGCATTAGCTTAGCATGCTACAGTCAGGTCGAGACAAGGACAAAACAATTAATACACATGAATCATGAGATAATATTAATAAAACAGGGGGGTTCTCCCGATGTATGGAGTTTTACCATGTTCTTACCATGTTTTCGCGATAGATGCGTATTTCTGTCCGATTATTTTGCCCAACATTATCAGACGTTTGTGGAGAGCGAGGCGAGAATTGCAGCAAACGCGCACAGGAAATTACGGATGAAGAAGCGTCATCAGGCCGCGACATGAGCGGAAATCCAGTACGCCAATACACATTAAAAGTCTCTAATGCTGCGTCTAAATTGGCCTACAAATACTACGCCCTAAAATAATGTACTCTTTCTGTGAAGACAAAGTACATACTTTTGAGAGTGTAGCAAAAGAGAAGACAAGCTTTGGGACATACTACCATAATCATACAATTGCGTCTTTAACGGTTGCTCTCTGTCGCAACCTGTCACGCAAACTGACCTGTCAATCATCTTGTCAAAGATAAAATCATCCACATTTCATTTAATTTCCTAATGTATCGGAGAGAAATGCAGAAGCACGTTGATCTGCAGTCGCGGATCTTTCATTTAAAAGTTAATGACCAAACGGATCTTTATAAAAGCCCAAATTTTTATAGCATATAACACGGATAACATTAAATACATATTTTTCTACCAGGTTAAACTTTTATTAGTCACTCAAACCCCTTTATCTAAACCTCTCACCGTCGGTCACGCATATCCGCCATGTTCTGTAGTTTTTTTTAACACTTTTTACTCGTGTTTGTAGTTCCTCCTCCAAAGCGCAGTGGATTGTGGGTAATATCACGGATCCAAACTTCGAAAATCCACCGGGAATAGTAGATCATCCAAGGATTTCTGGCATACTCTTTTCACCATATACTATGCTTTGGGACACACTTATTCTAATCTCACACACTGTTTAGGATGGATATGGACATTGAGACGCAGGGAGAATTAAAATTCAGTACGCCAATACAAATTAAAAGTCTCTAAATTAAAAGTCTTTATAAAGGGCATTTTTGTGCTATAAAGTCTTCTTCCACCATCTTTATATTTTTGTCGTTAAGGTGGAAGTCACGCGTTCCAAAGACGACGCGTATTAATATAATGTGTCTGTTATTCTTAAATAAAGAACAATAATAAACAGCCAGTTTTGTTTATGATAATGATGTCCAGCAGGAGGCGCTCTGAGACTAAACACGTGCAATTCTTCATTTATTTCTATCCACATTTATGAATTTATCTCTTAGTAAGATGATATTTAAAAGCTTAGTTTTATGATTAAAGCTCTGTAGTATTAAAATAAGTGTATTCAAGGTGTCCTTGTTACAGTGAAATTATACATAAGTACCAAGTGATATAAATTAACTACATGCACTTAGTGTAATAAGGCTATATTTGGTTTAGTTGCATGTAATTAGTCATTATTTATAGTTATTGCTATAGTAACTATAATAACACATGTAACAAAGACTAAAGCGTTACCATATTTAATTCAATGCAATACAACGATTATTGAGAGATGAACAAATAAATCTTCCTCAAAAGCCGTCATGGTCATATTTAATACTCACATAACATGATTTTTCAACAAAAAATAAATAAATAGCTTGAACATTGAGCTGAAGTTGGGTGTTTTAATAAAGAATTTGGCTTCTAATATTTGTTATGACATTGAAGTGGAGGTCAAATCTTCTGCATGCATGAATAAATGTTTATGTATACGCTATATATATTTTTTAAAGACACATTTAAAACTGTTTCTGTTACAGCACATTTTATTAATTTATATCAAATTACAATAAAAAATTTCAAAATCAAAATTCAATCAACTGTATTCATTATTTATTTAAATCAAACCTGATATATTTATTTTAACCAATTTATTTTTTAAATTATTTTATTATTTTAAGTCGTTATATTTTAGTAATTTGTATAAAATGTATTCTTTAAATAAAATTCTATTTTAATAGTTTTTTAAATTTATTTAATTAAATGTTTGTAGTACCACATTATTTAAACAAAAGTTTATGTATTTGAATTAATTTGTCAATTTAATATTTATTTTTATTTAAATAACATTTCATTTTAATCAAATGTATTTATTTTAATTTAGATAAAAGTTTAGTTTAATCTAATGTATTAATTTATTAAATTAATTTAAAATATTTTTTATTTTTCTTTCCTTTTATCAAATGTAGTTATTTGTATCAAATTTATTTATTTAATTTAAATGTTTAAATGTATTTAGTTATTTGTATTAAATATATTTTTATTCAATTGTTTTTATGTAGTTACGTATTTAAATCAGTTAATTTTAATTAAATTATTTTAAACATGTTAATTTATTATTTATTTATATTTTAATTAATTTATTTTTTAAATATATATACTTTTTGTACTTACATAAAAACAATTGAATAAAATAAGATTAGTTACGTATTTAAATGAATCAGTTACATATTCTAAACATGTTAATTTATTTATATTTCAATTATTTTAATCAAATCTATTTATTTAATTTGTTAAATCTTATTTTAATAAACCCCCAGCTCTCCCTTGCGACTTGAAAACCCCTGAGAAACAGATGTGTGAGTGTGTGAGAGAGAGAGTGTGTGTGTGAGAGAGAGAGTGTGTGTGAGTGTGTGAGAGTGTGTGTGAGTGAGTGTGTGTGTGTGAGAGAGTGTGTGTGAGAGAGTGTGTGTGTGTGAGAGAGATAGTGTGTCTGAGAGAGTGTGTGTGTGTTTGTGAGAGTGTGTGTGTGTGAGAGAGAGTGTGTGTGTTTGTGAGTGTGTGTGAGAGAGAGAGTGTGTGTGTGTGTGTGTTTGTGAGTGTGTGTGTGAGTGTGTAAGAGAGTGTGTGAGTGAGTGTGTTTGTGAGTGTGTGTGTGTTTGTGAGTGTGTGTGTGTTTGTGAATGTGTTTGTGTGTCTGTGTGAGTTTGAGTGTTTGTGTGAGAGTGTGCTTTTGTCTTTGTGATATATGAGGACACAAATGTGTATAATGACATGCATATTACACTGGTATTACAACTTACACGTGATATATGAGGACATTGCATGAGTCCTCATATTTCAAATAGCTTAAAAAACAAAAAAAACAATGGGGTTTTTTTTAATGTAAAAATGCAGCATGTCTCCTGTGATGGGCAGGTTTAGGGATAGGGGCAGTGTGTGTGTGTGTGTGATGGGCAGGTTTAGGGATAGGGGCAGTGTGTGTGTGTGTGATGGGCAGGTTTAGGGATAGGGGCAGTGTGTGTGTGTGATGGGCAGGTTTAGGGATAGGGGCAGTGTGTGTGTGTGTGTGTGTGATGGGCAGGTTTAGGGATAGGGGCAGTGTAGGGGGATAGAATATAGTTTGTCCAGTATAAAGGTCATTACGCCTATGGAATGTCCTCATATATCACAAAAAACACAGCTGTGTGTGTGTGAGTGTGTGTTTGTGAGTGTGTGTGTGTGTGACGGGCAGGTTTAGGGTTAGTGTGTGTGTGTGTGTGTGTGTGTGAGTGTGTGAGTGAGTGAGTGATTGTGTGAGTGAGTGTGTTTGTGAGTGATTGTGTGAGTGAGTGAGTGAGTGAGTGTGTGTGTGTGTGTGTGTGTGTGTGTGTGCAGAACAGAATTCATGCAAACCTCTCAATGTTTACAAAGAAAGTACTTTATTTGCTCAGAGGAGCAAGAATTCACTTTAACATACATCTGGAATTCTCATGTCCCTCTTCATGTGAATTTATAAAATATTCTCAAGTTGAAGCCACAAGACGTGACGTTTCAATAAAACCTGACTGACTCCAGGATAAAACTGAACAAAACGATGCAGGCACTAGTACATAATCACTCCCCGCGTCCGGAGAATGAGGAAGGCCACTCTCTCTCCTTTCAGAGTTACATTTTTGCAATACATAAACAAGAATAATTCATATAATCATCTTTTAGTGGTAAAAGACGATGTTAGTACTAATGAAGAAAAACAAAAATGATCTCTAGAGATAAACTCGGTACTGTGTTTACCTTCAATTTGGAACGAAAACGTCTACGAATGAAACCACTAAATGTTGGTTTCCTCAATTTTGGGCAGGTATTGACACAAACGCAGTATTTTGCACAGTGATTATTTACCTTATAAACAAGTGTGAGAAAACGCACAAATTGGCATCTCTAATTTCTTAAAAAAAAAAAAAAAAAAAAAAAACTAATTATTTCCAAGCTCTCCCATTATAAAAAAAAAAAAAAAAAAAAAAAAAAAAAAAAAAACCTTACAAAAATTGCAACAGAAATATGAAACACAATTTGTTCCTGGCAACTAGTTTTTTGCCATTTATCTAACATTTAAAATCAACATAGATAATAACAAAAACATGTTAACACAAACATTTAACAGAACTTTATAAAAGAAGTAAAAAAAAACTCGGGTCGTCCTGTAAAGACCCTTCGCAAAACCCACAATCTAGTTCTCTACTCTTCAGTAGAGACACGGACCAACTCTGCCGTTAGAGTTGATGAAACGCACCAGCGCGGACGAACCGGAGGATTACTTGCGCAGTGAAGGTCAGTTTGTGTCGAGTGTGAAATGCTCAAAGACTCGTGTGGTTCAGTTCGAGACGGTATAAAAATGAGTTGCTAATGTAAATGAGACGCACTAAAAACAGAATATCATCCAGCGTTTCCCAATACTGATGAAACACACAGGAGAACACAAGCTCTGGTGAATGATGGCAGACGTTAGAAGGAATCGCACAAAAACAGCGACACATTTCACCCCGAAAAATAATAATGATATGTTGATTCATTTTCTTCAGGCGATTGTGGTTTGTGTGTGTATTTATATATATATATATACATACACAAATTGTGATGTTTTATAGCTATATATATATATACACACACACAAATGGTGATGTATTTTTATAGCTATATATATACACACACACACAAATTGTGATGTTTTATAGCTATATATATATATATGCTCACACACAAATGGTGATGTATTTTTATAGCTATATATATATACACACACAAATGGTGTTTTTATAGCTATATATATATACGCACAAATGGTGATGTTTTTTATAGCTATATATATATACAAATGGTGTTTTTATAGCTATATATACACACACAAATGGTGATGTTTTTATAGCTATATATATATACACACACACAAATGGTGTTGTTTTTATAGCTATATATACACACAAATGGTGAATTGTTTATAGCTATATATATATATACAAACACAAATGGTGTTTTTATAGCTATATATATACACACACACAAATGGTGTTTTTTTATAGCTATTTATATATATATATATATACACACAAATGGTGATGTTTTTATAGCTATATATACACACACAAATGGTGATGTTTTTATAGCTATATATATAGCTTAAAAAATCAACATTTTTATGCATGTATACATATATATAGTGTGTGTATGTGTTCATGTATATACAAAAAATGTTGATTATTTAGCTATATATATATATATATATATACATATATGTGTGTGTGTGTATATATATATATATATATATATATTCACACATATATAAATTCATCAACATTTTTTATGTATACATATATACACATACAAATGTTGATGTATATATTTTTCTTCAGATATATAGATTATCTGAGGAAAATTAACAAAACACATACACACACATATATATATATATATATATAAATAAATTAAGACCTACATTTAGGATAATTATGATTTTTGTCCATAAGCATTACTTGAGTTTTCTTTTGAATGATTGATTCTTAATTCATATTCTACTGTAATACAGTAAAAATAAATACTGTAATACAATGTTTTTTTAAATTTAAATCAGCATAAAAGGACAAGACTCTCAAACAAACACTCCAATACGTATAATCTGTTTACATTACAGGTAAACGTCAATTAAAAATAAATCTAAATATCCTTAAAAAAACAGGCATAATTTTCTTGGAAGAAAAATATTTAGGTTTTAAAGGGTGAAACGTGACGTTTTTTTGCGTGATCCGCGCATCCCCAAAAACAACGTGTATCAAAAATGCATTTCCTTCCAACATCTTAAACACAAAACGGTACAAAAAAGAAAGTTAAACTTGAATACATTTACTACAAAAAGAAGGAATCTGTTCCCACAGCGGAGCTTGACCTCTCGTTGAATAGCAAAGGCTCATGGGTCGGTGTGTGTGTGTGTGTGTGTGTGTGTGTGTGCTATATAACAGCACACTGTAATTCTGACATCACTCCATCAACAGCAGGACGGTCCCGGGCCGTTTCTCACGGGTGATTTCCACCAATGGTCCATGAATGTGTGTGTTCGTGAGCACATACTGTGTTTAGAGCCGAGCGAGCGGCTCGGGAAGTGTACTGTGTGTATGTGAGTCTTCCAACACATCTGTTTATAATATATAAATCAAGAATGTGTGTATGTGTGTGGACTCTGGAACAAGAACAGGAAGATAAGGCCACGTCGACGGAGAGATTCCTTGCGTCAGGATCTGTCCAGGGCGAAAACAACAACAGAGCATCAGAAATGCATTCAAGATGTAAGCTGGTTTTCATTCATTCAGAGCAAAAACAGATTTTAACCGCAATGTTTGTTGTGGAAACTTGAAGAGGAGCTATTATGCTTTTTTTTTACATGTTTATCTTTCATGTTTGAGCATGAAAAGGAGTTATTCGCTATATCAGCGTCACTGAAACGACTGTTAAAAAATTGAGACAAATGGCTAGTGGTGACATCAGCGGCAATCCACCTGTCACTCAAGTGGCCACGCCCCTAATTATGCAGAGCTTTAAGGCTTAATATCTTATAAACGGATGAGTTATAAAAAAATTCACCCGTCTCACAGTCGTCATGAAGGGCAACATTAGCGATATAGACCAAAACCACTTTTTGTACCAGACTGTAAACATGTTTTTTTCTGCTGTAAAGTTGGGCATTTTAACATGCGGGTCTATGGGATTGAGTCTCTTCTGCAGCCGGCCTCTAGTGGCCAGTGGAGGAACTGCAGTTTAACTCACTCAGTGTTGATTCAAGAGAGACGGGGTGGTTGCCGCTTGCATCATTGTAGTAATACATGGTTATAATATTCCTCATAATATTTAATGCGCAGAATAAAGGGGCGGGGCCTGGTTGAGTTAGTAGTGTGTTAAACTGGCGGTTATGGAAAGGGGCGGGACTTTCCCCAAACACACACTGTGTGCTCGACCAATCACAACACACTGATCCAGCCGACCAATCAGAGCACAGTGTGCTTTTCAGAAGGAGGGGCTTCATAGAGACAGGAACTAAACAGAGCGTTACTGAATTAAAATGCTAAGTAATTAAAATGCAATATACTGTATGTCAAGGAACTTGGCATAATTTCGATGAATAAATCAAAAGTAGGGCTTAATCAAATAGAGATATGGAGTACTGTCTGTGAATATTAAAGCACTGTTGAAATATTGAGTCTGCATGTTCTGCATAATAGTGATACAAATTATTATTAAGGATACTGTTATTAAGGAATATCACAATTTTAGCCATGTTTTAAACCATAAACCAGCACATTGTTTGCCCAAAATAAAAGGAATGGTTAAATTTTCATTTGATTACATTGTAAAAAGCTTTATTAAATTGTAAATGTTTACTGCTTTCATTTTATTAAAACCATTTTTTATAATAAATTTGTATTGTAATTTATATGTTGTAGGGCACTATTATTGTAAAATAAAATAAAATTAAAAAGAAATAAAAAAATATTACAAAGGGCCCTAAAAATATTAATTTTGCTTTTAATAAATCGATGTTAAATTGAACAAGCTCAATTAATTCGACAGGTTTTTTAAATGACTAAAATGTAATTTAGCTATTAAAGTGAAATCCAGAAAAATTAAAACACATTTATAATCACATGAATAATCACATTTATACCTTTAATGGCATGCAAGTCGCTTTGGATAAACACATCTGCCAAATGCATGAATATAATAAATCCAAATTCAGCATTTTAATCATACGGCAATAATATTATATCGTGAGTTCAGTATCGTGATATGGATCGAATCGTGATATGGATCGAATCGTGACATGAGGGTATCGTTACACCCATAATAAATGCATCTGCCAAATGCATGAATATAATAAATAAAATCTAACTGTCACACACACACACACACACACACACCTGAATGTTACATGTGTCCGTGTCCGTCTCCACCCAGACCAGACAGCATCTGAGGGTCTCCCGTGACCTTCTCCTCCTCCCTCCTCTTCAGACACGCCGCCTTCGGGTTCAGATTACGCTCTGGAGGACACAGGGATTCACATCACACATTACAGGGAGCGTTTACACTGAGCCGCTTCACCTCACTGTGATCTGACACAGTCAAACAGCAGTGGAGGAGCGCAAGAGTCACTTCTGGACGGATGGAAGAGCAAGAAACACTGTGTGATTTAGACAAGTGCGACATGATGCTAGAAAACCACACGTCTGGTTCAGAATTAATTTTTATTACAATGTGCAATGTGACATTTTAATACTATTTATGCTATATATAGGTTTTTTTGTGCATTTTTGTACAATATTTAGATAAAAAAAAAGTATTTATACATCAGGACAGAATTAAAAAAAGTATTTATTCATTACATTAATTTAACTACAATATACAGTAAAGAGAATCTAATGAAAATTTAACTTGATACAATATATTTTTTAATATATATATAAAATATTTACAAACAAATACATAAATATAAAGTAAAAAAATTATCAGGAAAATAGTTATATAATTTACCATTTTTTAATTAATAAAAATATAAATACATTATATATATTATTTAAATTATAATAAACATGTATATATAATTTTATAATAATATAATTAGAATTATATATAATATAATAAATATTTGAATTATTTAAAATGATTAAATTATAATTTATATAATTATATGCATAAAAAATAAAATATATATATACAATTTTAATTTCTTATATGCATACATATTTCATTTTATTATAATACAATAATAATTTACATTTCATTATTTTATATAAAATTATTACATTATTTATATTTAAAATATAAAATGTACATAATATATGCATATGAGTTATTCATATAAAAAAATATATAAAAGTTGTATTTCTTATATGCATATATATATAATTTTATTATAATACAATAAGAATTTACATTTCATTTCATTATTTTATATAAAATGATTACATTATTTATATTTAAAATAATATAAAAATGTACATAATATATGCATATGAGAGTTATTCATATATATATATATATATATATATATATATTTTTTTATATATATATATAATTGTCATCAAATTTCACAATGCAAACAAATTGTAATGATCATAAGGCGGCTTAATTTTCCACAACAAATACAATTTCTTTCTTTAATTTTTTTTGGTGAATTTATCATATAAACTATATAAAATTGTCAATGTCACACGCAACAAATCGTAACGGTCAAAATGCGGCTTGATTTTTTTATTTATAAAACAAACAAATATTTCCTCTTTTTTGGGGGAAATGTGACTTGTTTTTGTGAGATTCACTCCAACATCTTTTGTCATTCCAATCATAATCAATCAGTCCAAGTGCTAATCTTTTAAAGAAAGCGGTGTGCAAATGTCGTCATCCTACTTGTGTACATCACAAGGCAGAAGGTGTTCAACAGTGAGATGTTAAAGCTCAGCACACACACACACACACACACACAGGTTAGTGTAAGCGAGGAGAGAGCTCTCAGTAGCAGGGGTGTGTCTCGTGATTCTTGGCAGGACGTAGTGTTGTCAAAGTACTGATTTCGGCACCAAATCGGTACTGAAATTGTAAAAAAGTGACGCTTTGAGCAAAATCATAAACTCCTCTGATTGGCCGTTGTGTCACGTGCTCATCGTATACGTTCAATTCAAGTCACGTTTATTTGTATAGCGCTTTTCACAATACGCATCATTTCAAAGCAGCTTTACAGAAAGTGCACGAGTCCACATTACAACTTACAGTGATCTGTCATCAGAGGAAACGCTCTAAGTATTTCAGAAATATACATATACAAAATCACAGCTAGTGAGAAATGTATTAATTTAAACAATGTAATAGTTTAATGCAGAAACAATGAGCTCATTGAAGTAATGATTACTTGTTTGATAACAGATGATTATGATATTTAGAAAATGTAGCATTGGTGTGTGTTGATTCAGAGTTTGCGTTTTTGTCTTGAACGTTTTTTAAATGCTTCGGAATGTTCAGAGAAGATTTAAAAGTAACATTCCGATAACGTTTGCAGAATTCTAAAATGTTCGCTTAACGTTCACACAACCCAGAAGAAACATTAAAAAACTGGACGTTCGGAGATAACGTTGGGAAAACGTTCTTAACATGTTTGTTGGGTCTGGGATTCAAAATCTCATTTTAAACCTTGAAATAGAGAAAGTTTTGTGATTGTGAAACACAACTGAAAGTCTCTCTGATCATGTGACTTCAAGATCACGCTGGAGAACACGATCATGAAGCTCCAGTGCTATTCTCATTATGTTTATGCTTATTTTATTTTAAAAGGAACACTGCATTTGTGTCCATCATATAAATGTTCGGAGTTTGCGTCATCTGAAGTCTTCGCTACTATGATCAACACACAGAAGTGTTTGAAAGCACAAGCGTCATTGATGTATATTTACATGTTTTTGAAGCGTTGATCATCGTCTCTTTAATGGGGTTTTCCCCAGCGTTGCACTGATTGCCCTCCCACATGATTACACCAGTAGCCAACTTCCCTTTTCACCTTTAAAAGCAGCAAGACGGATGGCAGAAGCGGGCGGTCTATTTGATTTGATTGCTTTTGATACTTGCTTATGTTTCTTTTTTTGGCACTACAGCACATTACACTCAACGGCCAATCAGAGGAGCTTTCGATTCCGCTCAACGGCGCTGAAAGAGTCACATTTCTTAAATTTCAGTACCGACTATGGTTTGTTAGGATTGGTCAACCATTGGTTTGTTGATCTGGAATCTGACGGTGCAAAAAAACGAAACATTGAGAAAATCGCCTTTAAAGTTGTCCATTTATGTTCGCATTCACTCACAAAAATAAATGTTTTAAATATTTACAGTAGAAAAATTTACAAAATATCATCATGGAACATGATCTTTACTTAACATCCTAATGATTTTTGGCATAAAGGAAAAATCGATCACTTTGACCCGAATTTGTATTAATAACAAATATAGCCGTGCAACTTGTTTAACTGGCTTTGTGATCCAGGGTCACATATCCGATGAGCACGTGTGGAGTTTACATTTACATTTATTAATTTAGCAGACGCTTTTATCCAAAGCGACTTACAAATGACAACAGTTAAACTAACAATATGCAAGTGCGCAAGACGACCCTTCCCAGTTTAATCTAACGCATGTACTTTTTATTTATTTTATGAATGGATACAGTAGAGAAATAGAAGAGAAAGTGTTAGTATTAATGGATCAAGTGTTGCCGAAGGTTTACGATTTACGATCAGGTTTACGATGCCGCTCAAAGCGTCACATTTTTAAAACTTCAGTACCGAAATCGGTACTTTTGACAACTGTAGCCGGACGGTTCGGGTCCAGGTATGGTGTCCTACCTCGCACCTGCCTCTCCAGGCCCAGGATCACCTGCACGGCCTGCTGGAGGATGATGAGTTTAGTCTGAGCCTTGTCGCTCTTCAGGTGCGTCTGACACATGCGGCCCAGCTCCCTGAAGGCCTCGTTAATGTCCCGCACGCGCACGCGCTCGCGAGCGTTATTGGCCATGCGTCGCTCGCGCTCGCGCTGCTCCTTCTCCTCCGCCGTCAGACACTCCTCCGACACGCTGCTGCCGGGGGCAACCAGGCGCTCGTTAGACACCTCGTTAACTCATTTAGACTCTCGTTGAGTCCATTCTACACATGCATGAACTGTGTTGGCTTCATTAAGTTGCAACGACTGAAGAACCTGTTCATTACTGTAGATTTGCTCTGCATGGTTTCCAAAGTCTCTGGATGAAGTATATAACTTTTTATTATTTAATATTATTAAATTACACTTGATATCTAGAACAATATTTACATTTTATAAAGTATTACATACATATAAAAAAGATAATATATATATATATATATATATATATATATATATATATAGAGAGAGAGAGAATTTTATAGTTTTTATATAAAAATTTTTTAATTAAAATGATTAAATTATAATTTATATATTATATGCATATAAGAAATAAGTTATGATTTTAAATAATAAACAAATTAAAATATAATAATTCAAATTATATTATATTATAATAGAATTTTATATATATATATATATATATAATATAGAATTTGTATAATTTTAAATAAATATTTGAAATAGAATTTGTTAATTAAATATAATATATGTATATACAAAATAATATATATATATATATATATATATATCAAATTCTATTATAATATAATTTGAATTATTATATTTTAATTTGTTTATTATTTAAAATCATTCAATTATATTTAGAATATTAAATTGTATATTATATATACAAAATCAAAATATTATAAATATCATGTTTATATATATTAATATTATAATATAAATATAATATTAATTAACATTAATAGTAATTATAAATATTATACAGTAATAATATAATAATTATTATATTTTAATTTGTTTATTATTTAAAATCATTCAATTATATTTAGAATATTAAATTGTATATTATATATATACAAAATCAAAATAAGATATAAAATCTAAATTTTATAAATATCAATTATAATGTTTATATATTAATATAATATAAATATAATATTAATTAACATTAATAGTAATTATAAATATTATAGAGTAATAATATATTATTAAAAATGTATAATATATACATATATATACACATACTTTTCCACAGCGTTAAAATGTCCTAAAAATTCCCTGCAGAACTCTAGTATCATTACGCAAAACCAATCCTGTTAAACATTAGGATTCCAGAACCAGCTTTCTGCTTTACTTCAGACCAATGCTGAGACCAACAGGGAGAGCCTGATTAAAGCCGAAGCCAGTTAAACGAGGGATGACGAGAAGATCCAGCGGAGGAGAGGAGAGCGGGTCTGATCCTGAGCATCTCGCGTTCATCGGGAATCGGCACGCAATCTCGGAACAAGACACCGACGGGCGGATCACAGAGGCTGCGTTTACATGCACAACTCCAGCTTCTAGCGGACTCAATTCATTACGATTGAGGATTCTGAATGTAATCTGAATGTAATGTTTACATTTTTTCTTGTTGTCGGTTCCAGTGGTGTGGATTGAACTGCGAAAAAGGCATTTAAATGTGCAGCTCCTTCAGCCGGGAATAATCGTACAAAATAAGTTGAAACTCAGGTTTCATTGGACATTTTTAAAGTGATTTTGAAAGACTTGGAGACAGAAACATCTGTTTTGTAGATGCTTTGCCTGACTTATGTATTGATTTACTTACTTTATTATTAAATTAGTGAATGAGTTTATTATTAAATTAGTGAATGATATTTGTTAAACCCACTTGAGTTGTGTTGCTGATAATCTTGGTCAGGACGCTCTTGCAAAAGAGATTTTTAATCTCAATGTGCTTTCTTTCCTGGTAAAATAAAGGTCATTACGTTATTTATACGTCATTATGCTATTTCAACGTCATTGCGCTACTTTTACGTCATTACGCTATTTCTACATTGCGCTATTTCTATGTCATTACGCTATTTCTACGTCATCACGCTATTTCTACGCCATTACGCTATTTCTACGTCATTACGCACGCTATTTCTACGTCATTACGCCATTTCTACGTCGTTACGCTATTTCTACGTCATTACGCACGCTATTTCTACGTCATTACGCCATTTCTACATCATTACGCTATTTCTACGTCATTACGCTATTTCTACGTCAATGCGCTCTTTCTACGTCATTACGTTATTTCTACATCATTACGCCATTTCGACGTCATTGCGCTACTTTTATGACATTACGCTATTTCTACGTCATCACACTATTTCTATGCCATTTCTGTCATTACGCACGCTATTTCTACGTCATTACGCTATTTCTACGTCATCACGCTATTTCTACGTCATCACGCTATTTCTACGTCATTACGCTATTTCTACGTCATCACGCTACTTCTACGTCATTGCGCTACTTCTACGTCATTACGCTACTTCTACGTCATTACGCTACTTCTACGTCATTACGCTATTTCAACGTCATTGCGCTACTTTTACGTCATTACGCTATTTCTACATTGCGCTATTTCTACGTTATTACGCTATTTCTACGTCATCACGTCATTACGCTATTTCTACGCCATTACGCTACTTCTATGTCATTACGCACGCTATTTCTACGTCATCACGCTATTTCTACGTCATCACGCTCTTTCTACGTCATTATGTTATTTCTACGTCATCACGCACACCATTTCAAGGTCATTACGCTATTTCTACGTCATTACGCTATTTCAACGTCATTACGCTATTTCTACGTCATCACGCTATTTCTACGTCATCACGCTATTTCTACGTCATTACGCTATTTCTACGTCATCGCGCTATTTCTACGGCATTACGCTATTTTAACGTCATCGCGTTATTTCTACATCATTGCGCTATTTCAACGTCATTACGCTATTTCAACGTCATTACGCTATTTCAACGACATTACGCTATTTCAACGTTATTACGCTATTTCTACGTCGTTACGCTATTTCAACGCCATTACGCTATTTCAACGTCATTATGCTATTTCTACGTCATTACGCTATTTCAACGTTATTACGCTATTTCTACATCATCACGTTAATTCTACATCATTACGCTATTTCAACGTCATTACGCTATTTCTACGTCATCACGCTATTTCTACGTCATCACGCTATTTCTACGTCATCGCGCTATTTCTACGGCATTACGCTATTTTAACGTCATTACGCTATTTCTACGTCATCGCGTTATTTCTACATCATTACGCTATTTCAACGTCATTACGCTATTTCAACGCCATTACGCTATTTCAACGTCATTACGCTATTTCAACGTCATTACGCTATTTCTACGTCATTACGCTATTTCTACGTCATTACGCTATTTCTACGTCATTGCACATGCGCAGTCCTTTCAGTTTCGGTTTTCAATCCGATCAAGTCTCCACATGTTCTCTCGATCGGATTATAAAAGGAACAAACCGACCACTTTCAATCCGATCGAAATTTAATTGGGATCGAGCTCAATCGGATCGATTAAGGCGTTTACATGAAGGCTTTTCTGAGCCGTCAATACGATTACTAGCGGATTATTCATGTGCATGTAAACGTAGCCAGTGTCAGTGGGTTTCAGGAGGCCTGTGGGAACTGCCACGGAGCGAAAGAGCGCAAGTGACAGACGAGAGGACAGCAAGATGAGAGAGATGCACCGTCTGCCCAGAACCGAACAGAAACACACACTGCCACTGAGAGAGCCAGACAGAAGACAAGATGAGGTGAATGCGACTGTCTCATCGTAAACGCATCCCGCTGGTGAGATGCATTTATGCAGCATGAGACTAAAAAAAAACCTGCAAAGAAAAAAGGGCTGAAGAACAGATGGAGAGATGGGTAAAAAGAAAAACAACCTGGCAAACAGAGGGTTAAACATGACATGCAAGCATTAATCAGATCGTTACAATCCGAAAGCGACTAGAAGGAAACACAAATGAACTTCGAATCTTCTAATCTGCGAGGTTAATGCCTGCGGAAGAAGCCTTTCATAGCAGATCAAAGGGAAAACGGACATGCAACAGTAAAAAAGAAAAGAAAAAAGGAAACTATAAAATGTGTGAAGACAGATTTAAAAGGATTGGTTGCATGCATTATGCATTATTAAAGGAATAATCAAAACCCCATCATTTACTCAACCCTCATGTCTCGCGTGTTTCTTTTCTGGAAAACAAAACGAGAGATTTATCAGGTTACTGACGCCTCTTTTCATTTGCATGATGCGCACAGATTATGTAAAACATCAGAAATGACAAAAGAAGCACTATAAGAGTCATAATAATAGTCCAGACAAGAAGTGCACTATATTTCATGTCTTCGTTCTGAGGTCATGTGATCATTTTAACAGACTGAAAAATCTTAATCTGTGCATTTGTTTATTTATACTTGGCATGTCAATACATGTTTGCACCAGAGTTAACTAAAACTATTAAAACATTTTTGTTAATTGAAATAAAATAAGATAAGAATAGATGAACAACAAACTAAGAAAATGAAATGTTGCATTAGCAACTAACTGAAATAAGTTGAAGCACTATAATAACGATCTGGACATAAATAACTAAAACTGAACTAAAACTAAAAACTGAGATAAAAATAAATTCAACCGTATATTAAAAAAAAAAGTAATAAAATGACAAATGTGCATAAAATTACTAAATTAATAATTTTAATCATTTATTAAATTATAAAATTATTAAATATATAATTATTAAATTATAATTTACATGTATATAAAATTGTGCATATTAGAAATACAAATTCTAATTAAAAAAAATTAATATATCTATAATATAAATATAATAAATTAATATTATATTTCTCATAATAAAAAAAAAAAAAAAAAAAAATATATATATATATATATATATATATATATATATAATTTTATTATAAATTGAATATTTTTTTAATTTAGGTTTAAAATATAAAATGTAATATGTATGCATATAAGAAAGAAAAAATATATATGTAACATTTTATTATAATTAGAATTTTTACATAAAATATGCATATAAGAAAGAAACTATATAAAAAACTATTTATTACAAAATAATTTGAATTTTTATATTTTTATTATTTAAAGTCATTAAATTATAAATTATATTCAGAATATTACATTTTATATATTATTTATAAGCATATTAAAACCCATGACAGTACATAAATACTAATAATACTAAAATACGGCCAAGTTTGAAATCACAAATGTTTATTTTTGTTTATTTTTTTAAGTGTTGTTGCAAATGTGAATGCATGACTGATGCACCAGAACGACTGAAGACGAACACAGTATTTTTATGAGAAACAGACCTGAATTTAAGTCTATCATTTGACTTCAGAAGACTAGAAATATAGTGTACAAGATATATGGGTTACTTTCACTATGCCTTTTTGGGCTTGACAGTCCTTTGCTTAGGTTGAGTAAAAGACGAAATGTACATTTTGGGCGTAACTAACTACTGCGGCTAGCTTCAATCTTAGTTTGTTAGTTGCATGAATCTTGCAAGCAGACAGAAAATGGGAAGGGATGAAATGACAGATGACAGAATCACATGCAGAAAGTGCAGACAGTCCCACAATCACCCTAAACGGACGCCTGTGTGGGCCGCGGAAGGCATGACGACCAAGATTAATCTGATGCATCATAATTATTAAAAGAAAATGTTCTGGGGTTTAATGCAACTTGGTTGGCTGTTTCTAGGGCGTATTTTTCAGGCAAGACACCACAGGCAAAAAAAAAAATCGTTGATTACATTAATTATTGCTCGTTAATTATTGCAAAAATGTTTTTTTTACAACTTGTTTAAATATGCAAATGATGCATTATCTAATCGGGCCCTATAATATTATCATCTCAAACACAGAAACTCAAAGGTCTTCACGGCAACCCGTCAAAATAAAAGTTCGGTTTAACTTGAAGAAAGTGTGACAGAAATATATTAGTGTTGTCATAATAGTTATAACAAGAAAATATTATTAAATAAAAAAATTATGGAATAATACATTTTTCCTCCATGTTTTAATTAAAAGAAAAACGTGTTTAATTGTATATGATTAAAATATTTAAATTAATGTTTTATGCCTTGATTGCCAACAAAAATTCAAATTAAATTAAAAAGTATTAAATTGTTGGTTTTATTAATTCAATTAATTAGACATGCTTTTTGATTATAAATTGGTTACGTTACGCCATTAAAATGGAGTCCAGAAAACTTAGTTTTCTTTTTTTTTTTTTTTTTTTTTTTATATTTCATAGGGCCCTAAACATGTAATTGTTGTTAGATTTTTAATAAATTGATGTTAAACTGAATAACTTTCATGATTTCAATCAATTAGGCAAGTTTTTGTTTACTAACATTTAATTTAACCAAAAATTAAGACAGCAAAAAATTAATTTGGGAAAAAATAAAATGGATTTCTTAATCTAATTAAATATGGACTGATTTGCATACATTTCCAGAACAGAAATCCGAACATTAGATAATGCCAGGTTCAAAATCATTTCATACTTTATTTTTGATTTGAATCACTGAATAAATCAAATTACGATCAACAGACTTAGAAGAATTAGGAATAAAATACTACATAAACTGGTGAATGATATTCGAAGAATCACTTCAGAATAAAACTAAAGTTTAGTGTGTGTAAGGAGATTACTGACTCAAACTCGCTGCCTGTAAAAATATGGATTGCAATTGAAATCTACAATCGCAAATAGATAAAGTGCAATAAAATAATGCATTTTGTATGAAAAGTTACACGTAATGAAAAGCCAAACATACGGAAGAGGATTAGGGCAAAGCAATAATAAAAAAATAAAACCATCTTGAGATTAAAGTCATTATAATGCGAAATTAAACTCGTTAAATTTCGAGAATAAAGTCGAAATACAATCTTGAGAATAAACTCATTAAATTTCGAGAATAATGTCGTGTTTTGAGAAAAAAATCGTTAAATTTAGAGAAAAAAACTCTAAATACAATCTTTAGAATAAACTCGTTAAATTTTGAGAATAAAGATTGTATTTCGAGTTTTTTTTCTCGAAATTTAACTAGTTTTTTCTCAAAACACGACATTATTCTCGATATTTAATGAGTTTATTCTCAAGATTGTATTTTGAGTTTTTTTTCTCGAAATTTAACTTGTTTTTTCTCGAAACACAACGTCTTTATTCTCGATATTTAATGAGTTTATTCTCAAGATTGTATTCCGATTTTTTTCCTCAAAATGTAACGAGTTTTTTCTCGAAACACAACGACTTTATTCTCGAAATTTAAAGAGTTTATTCTCAAGATTGTATTTCAACTTTTTTTTCTCTAAATTTAACGAGTTCTTTCTCAAAACACGACATTATTCTCGATATTCAATGAGTTTATTCTCAAGATTGTATTTAAACTTTTTTTCTCTAAATTTAACAATTTTTTTCTCAAAACACGACTTTATTCTCAATATTTAATGAGATTATTCTCAAGATTGTATTTCAACTTTTTTTTTCTCAAAATTTAACGAGTTTTTTCTCAAAACACGACATTATTCTCAATATTTAATGAGATTATTCTCAAGATTGTATTCCAACTTTTTTCTCTAAATTTAACGAGTTTTCTCGAAACACGACTTTATTCTCGATATTTAATGAGTTTATTCTCAAGATTGTATTTCAACTTTTTTCTCTAAATTTAACAAGTTTAATTTCGCATTACAATGACTTTAATCTCGAGATGGTTTTATTTTTTTTTACTATTGCTTGGCCCTAATCCTCTTCCGTACAAACAGCCCAAACTCGCCCAATGCACGAAAAACGCTTTTATCCTGTAGTGTCTTGCCTTTTTGCACCCAAAACATCATGCATTTAAATCCCTCATGCAACCAATCCGCCGTCGTCGTCCTCCCCTCGCGACCCAATCAGGCGTTCGGACCACAGACAAGATCTCCGCGGTTCTGCTGGTTCTCACTGATCGGAGGTCAGAGGTCAGTCGCACACACTGACCTCGCACTTGCTGCTCCAGGTTGAGAATAACGTTTACGGCCTGGTGCAGGATGAGCAGTTTGGTCTGAGGTTTCTCATTGCTCAGGTGGAGCTGGCACATGCGGCCCAGCTCTTTGAAGGCCTCGTTGATGTCGCGCACGCGCAAACGCTCACGGGCGTTATTGGCCACGCGCCGCTCTTTCTCCCGCTCCGCCTTCACCTCCACCGGCAAGTCCTCGTCATCCTCGTCTTCTTGACTTCATGGGTCAGAGGAACAAAGGGGTGAGAAGGGGTCACAGGTAAAACATTCAAGGCAGCGAGTCGTGTTTTCTCAGCGTTACCTCGCGTCTGTTTTAAAAATGGACCAATCAGAAGCTGCTGGAAGTGGGATTTGCAAGTAAAATGAGTGACACTACCAAATAATTATGACTTTTCCATGTTTTTGAAAGGCTCTTTTGCTCACCAGGGCTGCTTTTATTATAATAAAAATACAGTAAAAATTGTGAAATATTATTAGAATAAAAAAAACTGTTTTCTATGTGAATATACAGTAAAGTGTAATTTATTCCTGTGATCAAAGCTGTATTTTCAGCATCATTACTCCAGTCTTCAGTGTCACATGATCCTTCAGAAATCACTCTAATATGAGGATCTGATGCTCAAGAAACATTTCTGATTGTTATCAATGTTGAAACCTGCTTAATATTTTTGGGGAAATCGTGATAAGCTACTATACAAAAGTTTGGGGTACTAAAGATTAAAAAAGAAAGAAAGAAAATAAATTAATGCTTTTATTCAGCAAGGACGCATTCAATTAAATTAATTTCTATTCATCAAAGAATCCTGTATCACAGTATACCACAAAAATATTAATTGATAATAATCAGAAATGTTTCTTGAGCATCAAATCATCTATTAGAGTGATTTCTGAAGGATCATGTGACACTGAAGACTGGAGTAATGATGCTGAAAATTCAGCTTTGATCACAGGAATAAATTACAGTTTACTATATACTCACCTAAAGGATTATTAGGAACACCTGTTCAATTTCTCATTAATGCAATTATCTAATCAACCAATCACATGGCAGTTGCTTCAATGCATTTAGGGGTGGGGTCCTGGTCAAGACAATCTCCTGAACTCCAAACTGAATGTCAGAATGGGAAAGAAAGGTGATTTAAGCAATTTTGAGCGTGGCATGGTTGTTGGTGCCGGACGGGCCGGTCTGAGTATTTCACAATCTGCTCAGTTACTGGGATTTTCACGCACAACCATTTCTAGGGTTTACAAAGAATGGTGTGAAAAGGGAAAAACATCCAGTATGCGGCAGTCCTGTGGGCGAAAATGCCTTGTTGATGCCAGAGGTCAGAGGAGAATGGGCCGACTGATTCAAGCTGATAGAAGAGCAACTTTGACTGAAATAACCACTCATTACAACCGAGGTATGCAGCAAAGCATTTGTGAAGCCACAACACGCACAACCTTGAGGCAGATGGGCTACAACAGCAGAAGACCCCACCGGGTACCACTCATCTCCACTACAAATAGGAAAAAGAGGCTACAATTTGCAAGAGCTCACCAAAATTGGACAGTTGAAGACTGGAAAAATGTTGCCTGGTCTGATGAGTCTCGATTTCTGTTGAGACATTCAGATGGTAGTCAGAATTTGGCGTAAACAGAATGAGAACATGGATCCATCATGCCTTGTTACCACTGTGCAGGCTGGTGGTGGTGGTGTAATGGTGTGGGGGATGTTTTCTTGGCACACTTTAGGCCCCTTAGTGCCAATTGGGCATCGTTTAAATGCCACGGCCAACCTGAGCATTGTTTCTGACCATGTCCATCCCTTTATGACCACCATGTACCCATCCTCTGATGGCTACTTCCAGGAGGATAATGCACCATGTCACAAAGCTCGAATCATTTCAAATTGGTTTCTTGAACATGACAATGAGTTCACTGTCCTAAAATGGCCCCCACAGTCACCAGATCTCAACCCAATAGAGCATCTTTGGGATGTGGTGGAACGGGAGCTTCGTGCCCTGGATGTGCATCCCACAAATCTCCATCAACTGCAAGATGCTATCCTATCAATATGGGCCAACATTTCTAAAGAATGCTTTCAGCACCTTGTTGCCACCTAGAATTAAGGCAGTTCTGAAGGCGAAAGGGGGTCAAACACAGTATTAGTATGGTGTTCCAAATAATCCTTTTGGTGAGTGTATATTCACATAGAAAACAGATATTTTACATTGCAATAATATTTCACAATTTTACAGTATGTTTGATCAAATAAATGCAGCCTAGGTGAGCAGAAGAGACTCTTTCAGAAAACATATAAAAACATAATTATTCCAAATACTTGACAGGTAGAGTGTGTTTAAATGGAGGTGCACAGGGCGGCAGGTACCTCGATCTCGTACAGCTCTTTCCGTCTTTCTTCTCGTCGTCTGATCGATCTCCAATAGACAGGTTCTCATCATCTTCCCGATCTTCCCGCTTTATATCCGAGTTGGAGGAGTGAGAGGAGCGAGGCAGAGAAAGACCTGACAGACACACACACACAAGGAGGGATTGGCAACACAACATCACACTGTGTGACAGCAGCACTGTGAAAACATCCTGTAAAGGTGATGAGCTTAATGTTTTGGATGGTAAATTTAGACTCACTGTGATTAGAGTCTAAATAAGACACAAATTAGAGTTACTGTGTTGCTTTCAAAACATTAATTGCTCTGTTTGAGCTGCCCGAGTTTAGGACGAGACTTCAAGTCTAGCTTTCTTTTTGTAAACATTTACATTAGTGATGCACCAAAATATATATTTTTTTAACTGAAAACAAAATTAAAGTTCGGAAATAAACTATTTAATTAATCAAATTTATACACACTTATAAAACTGCCTTATATGCAATGTAAATCAATGATATAATTATGTTTCTACAATAATTCATTGTTAAATAACAGCATTGTTTTCATGACTTTATTCAAATATACAAGACATCACAACAGGTTAAGTACCGGTAAAAATATAATGATTAGGTAATATAGTGCATATATTTTTTTAAATGCTCCTCTCTAGAGTTATATGTATATTAGACTAACTGGTCTATGGCAATTGAATGGCTTTTCTGGAGTAAATGTGAACCACTTTGGCCTTTTTAAATATTTCTGGTTGCTGAAATTTCAATGCATCACTAATTTATAGGGGTGTAACGATATTTGAACCGAAAAACCGCGATACAGAACCCACGATTCGATGGCGTACCGAACACGCCCCGCCCCCTGCTACCCCGGCCCCGCCCACCGCGGCTCATTGGACATCATGTCTTATGTGTACACAACAAATTCAGTTTTGTAGCCTAACCACCATTAACACCAAATAGCAAGCTCCGTGTTTTGTTACTTTGGATAATAAGAAAGGTGTAATCTTTCAAATTCTGTCTATTTGATCTCGAAATTCAAACAATAAATGCCGTTTTGGCGCTCTTTGACGTGGCGTGACAGATCGCTGTACTAGCTCCTCGTTCAAGCGGCAGCGCGAGCGCGAGTAAACGCGATCATCTCTTCCTCAGTTACAGAATAAACATGCATGGACACCTGAAGGTATGTTGACAGATACAGTATACTTACTGAAAGGCATCATAACTCGTGTAAACACTCAATCAGTGTTTCAACAGCGGAAAGACGTCAATAAAACAGCATAGCTTGTCACTAGCATTATATTTACCTCAGCAGAAGTCATTCAGTGTCCACAACTTGTTGGTTCCTAGAGAAATGAACTCTTGCACTACATAAATGCACTATATTAGCCTATATATTAGAGCCCGACCGATATATCGGCGGGCTGATATTAGGCATTTTCCAAACTATCGGTATCGGCATTTATAATGGCCGATAAATGAATATTTTTAAAAATGCGGGTGCGGTGATTCATGTAAGGGTGGCGCTGTCAATACCTAAAAGCTGTCACAAAGAACTGGCAAAAGTAATGATTATGAATACAACGAATATAGCAAGGAGACATTTTAATTGTTTATTAATAAACAAGTGTTTTCAGTCAGTGTCAGCCAAAGATGAAGTTGACGATGCTGACTCGCGATCTTCAGTGAACGCGCGCCAGAGAGAAATGCACATTTCATTCGATTACATAAGTCTGTCTGTCTTTCGTTTTGAATTGTTCTGTTTAAAAGTAGACATTTCAATATAGATATATTTCAATTCTCAGGTCTATACGCTGAGTTTCGGTTCATGAGACGAGCTCCAGTTCACCCGCAGGCGCCTCCGTGTCGAGATTATCTATCGTCTGCTAAATTTACTTCTTAAATACAGGCAATTGGTTGATGATACATTGATTAAAATTAAGATACAATTAATACAAAACGAAATTCACTTTGAAACGCAAGGTTTTGTGCTTTCTGTTTGATGTCTATGTGAAAGTTTCAAAGCATATTTTAGTGCCACTTTCAGAGCGCTCACGTCCGTAGTGCTGAACTGTCGCGTCTGTAACATTGTTTTTTCCTCATAAATGCGAACACGAAAAATAAAATAAAATAAAATGAATATTTTATGTAGCCTGTGGAGACTGAGAGCCAACCCTTCTTCATCCGGTGGGTAGTAGCCTACTTGTGATTTGCGCGGTGTAATTCACAGAATTGATTTCTCTGCTACAGCCTCTGTCACGTATTGTGTGAGCTTGTGACTATTGCAAGCGCGCAGCTGAGAAGTCCTGATTATATTGTCTGCTATATTTACTTCTTATTTATTAAAATGCGTGGCGCGAGCGATCTCCGACAGTAAACTGATTCTGCTTTGTCTCGGGTAAACAGCTGTTGCGACGCGAGCAATAACGGCCGTGTCCGGTGTAGACACCGTGTTAAAGCTCATTCTGCCTGATAACGCTACGTTACAACATCAAGCAATATTCCAATAATTTATATAATTATAACACTTTATACAGGGCCATTTTGCATTAAGAGTAGCCTAGTTTCACGTTTAGTACATTTTGCTTACTAATTATTTAAAATAGTATAAAAGTACTGTACATATGTAATTAAAACCGTTTTCATTATGATATTATTAATTTTACTTTAGTAAAAAGATCTGAGTTCTTCCTCCACTGGTAGAGATTAGAGGAATTAAGACTAAAAATAGAAGATAAGGTTTTGTCAGTGACACTTTTTATATATTTATTGATACAAGTTATGACTAAATTAAAAGACAAAGTCGTTAGTGAAGATTATGCAACAGTATTTAGAATATAATATAATATAATATAACATGCAATGCAAACTAGTTTGGTTACAGCTCAACTGTATAATTCTCATTCTATCTTTCCCCCTGCCTCCATTACATATCTGTGTCACACAAGAGTTTGATCACCACATTTGAGTGATCATTGCACAACGTGTTTATAAAATATATTTATTCTGTTTATACTGTGTAAAGTACCCATCAAAAGTTTGTACACACCAATAGGAAAGTGTCCAAACTTTTGACTGGTATACTGTACTATAATACACATAAAAGATATTGCTACTGTATTATAATATACACATAAATAATATCGGCCAATATATCGGTATCAGACTTTTTTTTACTCCCTAATATCGGTATCGGCATCGGCCCCCAAAAATCCATATCGGTCGGGCTCTACTATATATTATATTTTACTTAACCTGTTAATCTTGATTATTTAATGTATGTTTAAAATATCTTTCATGAAAATGACAGCAACTGTGTAAATTATTATATTTCAATAACAAATTAGAATAAAAACATAAGTTAATGGAAAAACTGCTTAATGCAAAAACATTAACATAAGTTAATGCAAAAACATAAATTAATGCAAAAACATAAGTTAATGCAAAAACATAAGATAATGCAAAAACATAAGTTAATGCAAAAACATAAATTAATGCAAAAAAATAAGTTAATGCAAAAACATAAGTTAATGCAAAAACATAAGTTAATGCAAAAACATAAGTTAATGCAAAAACATAAGTTAATGCAAAAACATAAGTTAAACTGCAAAAACATAAGTTAAACTGCAAAAACAACAAAAAAAATAAGTTTGTTTATCATTAACATAAAAGTGAATGAAAAAAAATCAGTTTACATGTTTTCATACAATGTGTTGGGTGTTGATTATTATATCTAAAAAATAAATAGCATCTGAATTTAGGCTAAAAGTCTAGGCTCTGTTGTTAACCTTTAATGTAATGTGCGGCTCCTAGTTTACAGCATTAGCAGATATTTTTTTTAATCCTTGCGAAACGTTTAATTGTAATTTAATTGATTTAAAGACAATTTTTTTTTATTAAACCACTGTTTAAAAAAAAAGAAAAAAAAAGAAATTTTAGCTTTCTAAACCGAACCGAGACGTCAAAACCGTGGGAAAACCGAACCGTCAGTTTTGTGTATCGTTACACCCCTACTAATTTACATTTATGCATTTGGCAGCCACTGTTATCCGAAGCAACTTGCGTTACATACATTTTATTTTTATCGGTTCATGCATTCCCTGGGGATCGAACCCATGAACTTTGCATTGCGAACACTATTTTTGAGCCACAGGAAAGCTTTATAAGCTGCGTCTGAAAAGCATGAATGCTACAAAAATATCTTGCTGCATGCTTGTCCATTAAAATGCACAAAGCACATCATTTACGAATATAAATCAATCCAATGTAACAAACTGAGCATTTTGATTCAAAGAGTAGCACTGACTGGTAAAGACGTCGGACTGAGAAGTGGGCGGAGCCTGATGGTGTCCTTGCAGTGGTAAACCTGCGGCGTCATCACTGAGACTTTGCATCTAGAGAAAAGAGCAGGAGATGGGTTAGTCAACACTCAATAGTGAGCATCTGCCCTATCACTATATTAGGACATGAACTTCAGCATTTCAATATTTAATTTTAGAAAATGATCGTCAGATGAACACAAACTCAAAGGTTTTCACTACAAGCTGTCAAAATAAAAGTCTGGTTTAACTTGGTTTAAGAAATATATAACTATTGTACCGCAGAATGTACTTCTCAGAGTAATTATAACAATAATAGTTTATTAAAACATTAAGGAATATCAGACAAAATTGAACGGAATACAGAAAGAAATTTGTTGGGGGTTAACGGATTGCATAGGGCCCTAATAATGTTATTTCTGTTCAACATTTAATAAATTGTTGTTAAATTATAGAAGTTTCATGATTTAAATTAATTACACAAGATTTTTCATTTGTAAAATTAAATATTTTAACCATTAAAATGGAATCTTAATGAAATTTTAGGGGAAAATAAAACAGAATTTGGGGGGAAATAAAATGGCACGCAGCTCGCTAAGGTTTGAAACAGAGCCAGGGTAATAGGTGAACTCTCACCAGGCCCGGCAGACGGCTGACGAGCCCGAAGGCCTGACTGAGGGAGCCCAGGGCCGCGGCACCAGCTGGAAGTCCAGAGACGGCTGCGCTCAGTAAACTGTGCATGTCTGAGCCTACAGCATGGTTCCTCAACACATGAAGCGCTTCACCCAGACGGTCATCCATCTTACTCTGCAAAGAAGAGAAATTACTCAAACCACCACTGAGGCAAAGTTTATCAAATGCACAAGGCAGTATGCAACTGTGATTTTCAATGAAAATGTTATTTATATACAGGCATACACAGATATACACATGCATGCATACACAGAAACACACATGCATGCATACACAGAAACACACATGCATGCATACACACATGCATGCATACACAGAAACACACATGCATGCATACACAGAAACACACATGCACTGTTAAGTTGTTTTGATTGATACTGTGAAGCAGCTTTGATACAATCTGTATTGTGAAAAGCGCTATATAAATATATTTGACTTGACTTGCATACACAAACACATGCTTGCATACACAGAAACACACATGCATGCATACACAGAAACATGCATGCATGCATACAAAGATATACACATGCATGCAGACACACACATGCATACGCAGACACACACATGCATGCATACACAGAAACATGCATGCATGCATACAAAGATATACGCATGCATGCATACAAAGATATACACATGCATGAAGACACAAACATGCATACGCAGACACACACATGCATGCATGCATGCACAGATACACACATGCATGCATACACAGAAACACACATGCATACACAGAAACACACATGCATGCATGCATACACCGATACACACATGCATGCATACACAGTCAGATACACACACGCATGCACACATCCTGTGCAACACAGCAAAATCTCTAGTTTAAAATTAAGTTGTGTGCTCACAAGGACTACAAAGTCATATATTTAAAGCAATGCAACTGTTTTGATAAATGGTGACACAGTTGAACATACCGGTGCCTGCAGTCCTGTCTCAAATCCAGGCGATGGAGCAGGCTGAGAAGAACCTTTGGGCCACTGAGATGCAGAGGCTAAAGACACAAACACAGAAGTCAATAAAGCCCAGTGCGGACTGGCTGATACGCCGTTGACAGTGTCGCACAGCAGATGGCACCACAGAGCCATTTACACAGGAAAACAAGCTTCAGGAAACCCACCAGCAACATTTGAAGGAGAGCCCACGGGGGTGGAAGGGGTCGAGGAGAAGCTGTTGCCGTTATTGTCAGAGGGATATATCTAAAAACAACAAGAGACAACATTAATTAAAGGGTTGAGCTGAAGTGATCTGTAATTTTTGTGTTCATCTCAGTGTTATTTTTAATACATCACCCAAATATGTCACTATTCGATACATATCACGATACTGAACTCACGATAAGATATTATTGCGATACTCAAAGGCATATGATAAAAGGTTAACAAAAAATGTACTGTTGATTAAAATGCTAAATTTGATGTTACATTACGGCTGTAAATGAATAGGCTTGGACTTGGTGCTGAAACCCAAAGCAGGACAATAGAGACACCAGAATAACAATATTCATGATTCTGAAGCTGAAAATACAGAATTATTTTAGACGAATATGCTTGCACTCTGTCATTGACTAGATATATTTAAAATAATGAAAACCACTTTTTACTGGTGACATCAGACATTTGGCATTATCAGGAGCCACAAATATTCCTCCATTGCATTATTATACATTATATTCAACATTATATTTAATAGTTTAGTACTGACACTAAAACTCTGAAAACTTGATTTTTTTAAAAATTTTAATTTTGGGTGAGTTCTACACAATACATATTGTCACTATCCACGATACATATTGATGCATTTTTGCATTGCGATATATAACATCATTATATAGTTTAACATCATATTTAATTGTAAATGACGGCAAACTCACCGAAGCAAGAGCTTTTCCGATCTCTGCGCCCGAGCTCCCTGCATTCCCACCTCTGTTTACTGTATTGACATAGATAGATAGATAGATAGATAGATAGATAGATAGATAGATAGATAGATAGATAGATAGATAGATAGATAGATAGATAGATAGATAGATAGATAGATAGATAGATAGATAAATAGAGAGAGAGATAGATGGACAGATGGATAGAGATAGATAGATAGATAGATAGATAGATAGATAGATAGATAGATAGATAGATAGATAGATAGATAGATAGATAGATAGATGATGGATAGAGATAGATAGAGATAGATAGAGAAAGATAGAGAGATAGATGGATAGATAGAGATAGATAGATAGATAGATAGATAGATAGATAGATAGATAGATAGATAGATAGATAGATAGATAGATAGATAGATAGATAGATAGACAGATGGATAGAGATAGATAAATAGAGATAGATAGAGAGATAGATAGATAGATAGATAGATAGATAGATAGATAGATAGATAGATAGATAGATGATGGATAGAGATAGATAGAGATAGATAGAGAAAGATAGAGAGATAGATGGATAGATAGAGAGAGATAGATAGATAGATAGATAGATAGATAGATAGATAGACAGATAGACAGATGGATAGAGATAGATAAATAGAGATAGATAGATAGATAGATAGATAGATAGATAGATAGATAGATAGATAGATAGATAGATAGATAGATAGATAGATAGATAGATAGATAGATAGATAGATTGATAGAGATAGATAGATAGATAGATAGATAGATAGATAGAGAGATGGATAGATAGAGAGAGAGATAGATGGAGAAAGATAGAGAGATAGATAGAGATAGAGAGATAGAGATAGATAGATAGATAGATTTTTATTTAATACCATGTCAGCATCTAAGGCTATTTTCATGGCAAAAAACTGAATTACACAAATAAAAATATCATATACATACAATAAAACCAAGCAAACAAACACAACAAGTCAATGTGTATTGACAGAATGAAGCTGATGTCCACAGGTGAGTTACTGTGCACTGCATCGAGTGGGAGCAGCGCAGCTCTGAGTCGAGTCTTACCCATGATGCTGTCGCTCCCGTTGATGGGCGGCGTGTGGTTGGGAACGCCGTATCCAGCAGAAGTGGAGTGAAAGCTGGAGGGAATATTGACCTCGCTCCCGTGGAGAGGGTAGTTCTGCGGCGACAGGGGCAAAGGCTGGCGCTTCTGCACACACACACACACACACGAAATTATTATCCATTAGCATGTGCCAAATGTGTCACGTTATCTAAGGCTGCGTTTACACTGGCACAAAAAATCCGATCTTTTAAGTAGAGATGCACCGATTACAATTTTCTAGGCCAATTCCGATTTTTCAGAGTCTGACCTGCCGATACCGATTTTGGTCGATTCCGATTTCATTTTTTCTAACCACTTTACAGCACACACACACATTTATTTTGTCTCTTTTCTTTAGTAGAACATTTTTGAACAGTAATCGCTATAAAATAAGACTATATAAATGACTCCTGGTGTGGGAAATTCACACACATCTACAGTGCAGTGTTATGGAAGAACCATTTCCTTCTTTTCACAAACTAAAAACAAATTTTCATTTCAAAAAGAAAATTAATTTTATTTTCTGACATATACTCCAGTTCTTGTTAAAACACACCAGACATGCAAATTCTGTGCATTTTGGGCACTTTTGTGTGAAATCATATTTATTTTGGACTTTATGAACTATAATGAACTTTGGGCTAGTACTCGGTGTGTTTAAACCAGGGTCTAAATTAAGTTCTGGGTCAATATTTCCCCCCTCAGATAGTCCCTGCTCACGAGGTAGTACTTTCTCAAAAGTTCAGGAGCTTTCTAATTAACTACCTAACTAACTAGCCTGGTTAAATAAAGGTTAACTAACTAACTCACTTCCCTGGTTAAATAAAGGTTAACTAACTAACTAAGACACGAAATTATTCATGAGCACGTGGCAAGTGTGTCATTGTATCTATTTATTATCCAGATCTGGCGCTGCCAAAAGCCATTCAGACATTAGAAACATTCGATTGCTTTTCCACATGCGGTAATTAACTGGGTTTTTTCTGTGGTCTCTGACTCATCAAAAAGAAAGAAAAAAACATGGAAATCGGTCCTGATGGCATAATCTCTAAGTTTCAGAAACTTTATCACAGATGTAGAAACTTTCATTTAATGTGTATACAGTACATTGATACATTTAATAAATTAACCTCACTTTATGGTTCCAGAATGCTCCTATTTAACGCAAATTTTTATATAAACAACATCATTTTGGTAAAAAAAAAAAAAAAAGTTCCCAAACCATTGTGGTGAACGTTTAACAATTAACTGCATGTGTTCTGTGGTCTCTGGATCATTAGAAAGGAGGCAAAAAACCAGATGATGTCATAAGGACCTATTTCCAAGTTTCAGAAACTTAGAAAGTAGAAACTCGGATTTAATGTATATACAGTAAATTGATACATTTAATAAATGAACTACACTTTATGGTTCCAGAATGCTCCTATTTAACTCAATATATTATATAAACGACACAATTTGTCAATATTGATTTTTCACAAAACAATGTGGTGAACATTTAACTGCCTGTTTTCTGTGGTCTCTGGATCATTAGAAAGGGGGGAAAACATCTTTAGGATCTATTTTTAGACCTAATGAATCAAAAATCAGGTTTTAGAAACTTGATCACAGATCGAAACACATAAAGAAACTTGAATTTCATTTATATTCAGTTTATTTCATAATAAATTAACTTTCATTTTGTCACAGAATGCTCCAATTTACTCTATATTAGTTCTTCCAAATCAATTAATCACATTTAACATAAAAGTTTGTTTATTTAATATATGCGTGTATAAATATATACATACACACACATATACACACAATATATATATATATATATATATATATATATATATATATACACACATAAATACATATACACATACACACATTATATAAACAAACTTTTATGTTAAATGCGATTAATCGATTTGACAGCACTACTCAAAACAATTAAGTAACACTTACAATAAGGTTTAATATGTTAACATTAGTTAAAATGAACTAACATTAATAAATGCTTTGAAAATATCTTGCTCATGTTATCTAATGCACAAATGAAACCTCATTGTAAAGTGGTACTAACAATACATTAATTTAATAAACCATTTACCCTAACTACAGAAGATAAGAGTCATTATTAGAGATGCACCGATTACAATTTTCTAGGCCGATTCTGATTTTTCAGAGTTTGACCTGCCGATACCGATTTTAGCCGATACCGATTTTAGCCGATTCAGATTTTATCCGATACCGATTTTAGCCAATACCGATTTTAGCCAATACCGATTTTAGCCGATACCGATATTAGGCGATACCGATTTTATCCGATATCGATTTTAGCCGATCCCGATACCGGTTTTAGCCGATTTCCGATTTTTCAGAGTTTGACCTGCCGACACCGATTTTAGCCGATACCGATATTAGACAATACCGATTTTATCCAATTCAGATTTTAGCCGATTCAGATTTTAGCCGATACCGATTTCAGCCGATACCGATTTCAGCCGATACCGATATTAGCTGATACCAATTTTATCCAATATCGATTTTAGCCGATTCAGATTTTAGCCGATTTCAGATTTTTCAGAGTTCGAGCTGCCGACACCGATTTTAGCCGATGCCGGTTTTAGCCGATTTCAAATTTTAGCCGATACCAATTTTAGCCAAAACCGATATTAGGCGATACCGATTTTAGTCGATACCTATTTTAGCCGATTCAGATTTTAGCCAATACCGATTTTAGCCGATACCGATATTAGGCGATACCGATTTTATCCGACATCGATTTTAGCCGATTCAGATTTTAGCCAATTTCAGATTTTTCAGAGTTCGAGCTGCCGACACCGATTTTAGCCGATTCAGATTTAGCCGATGCCGATTTTAGCCGATTCAGATTTTAGCCGATACCGATTTTAGCCAATTCCAATTTTAGCCGATACCCATTTTTCAGAGTTTGGCCTGCCGACACAGATTTTAGCCGATTTCACATTTTAGCCGATTCAGATTTTAGCCGATTCAGATTTTAGCCGATTTCAGATTTTAGCCGATTCAGATTTTAGCCGATTTCAGATTTTAGCCGATTCAGATTTTAGCCGATTTCCGGGGTTTTTCAGAGTTTGACCTGCCGACACCGATTTTAGATTTTAGCCGATTTGTGATTTTTCAGAGTTTGACCTGCCCATACCGATTTTAGCCGATACCGATTTTTTCAGAGTTTGACCTGCCGATACCGATTTTAGCTGATACCGATTTTTCAGAGTTTGACCTGCCGACACCGATTTTAGCCGATTTCAGATTTTAACCGATACTGATTTTTCAGAGTTTGACCTGCCGACACCGATTTTAGTCGATTCCGATTTCATTTTTTCTAACCACTTTACAGCACACACAAATATTTATTTTCTCTCTTTTCTTTAGTAGAACATTTTGCATTTTTCATAGAACATTTTTGAACAGTAATCGCTATAAAATAGGACTATATAAATGACTCCTGGTGTGGGAAATTCACACACATCTACAGTGCAGTGTTATGGAAGAACCATTTCCTTCTTTTCACATCTAATATCCAACTAAAAAAATGTGTTCATTTCAAAAAGAAAATTCATTTTCTTCACATATACTCCAGTTCTTGTTAAAACACACCAGACATGCACATTCTGTGCATTTTGGGCACTTTTGTGTGAAATCATATTTATTTTGTCCATCAAAAACCCCCGCTTCACAGCTGCTCCCGCTTGCGGTGTGAAACGGCCGTAATTCACGAGGTTTCCTACATGTGCGTCTCCTGTGCACGTGTGATGCTGATGTTGCGCGATGTTAATCATGTGGCGCCCGAGTGCATTTGACCGGCATAAAATCGGTATATGTCAGACTGACCGGCAAGTCGCCGATCATGTGAAAATCGGCCGATTCCGGTCACCAGCCGATCAATCGGTGCATCTCTAGCGTCATTCAGTTGAAGCACATTATAAATAGTCCATTGTGAGACTGAATGCAGTTGTTCGTGGCTCACCTGTGGGTTTATGGAGGAGAACGGGGCCGGCTGACCGATGTGCGGCGAGTTGCTCATGACCGGAGGATAACCGGACTGACCCCAATGATCCGGGAGTCCGTCTGATAAAGCAACATCCTTTAATCAATGCTCGTTATTCATGGCAAAACGTGCAATCCAAACGAAACAGTCTGGCAGAGTAACTGTAAAATTATGCCCTTGTATAATAATCACATATATGGACGTAAAGTACTGAGAGTGTACATTATCTTGTGAGATATAAAACTGGAATAGATAAGAAATATTAGAACAGTTTGGCGTCAAATATTTTATTTTTACTAAACAATGCCTTTTTATATTTTATATCTACCTTAATATTTATGTATTTAAATAGTCTGACATGAATTGAAACATACAATCTGAGCCAAATATGAACAATTGCAAAAGCCTATTGTAAAAAAAATACATTTATTAAATTAAATATGAATTATGAATCGGATGTATTGATTTCAATTACATTTAGAGAATATAATAAATATATGTTTATTTAAAAATGCATGTAGCAATCAAGCAATAAATAGTAGGCAACAAAAAAAAAGCTTAAAAAAATTCAACAATCAATTGGATGATCTGAGTTTTGTTGGAAAAATTACAAATAAACACATAAATAAAAAAGGAATATTAAGATCAAGATTCTTTTTACTAATACTGCCTTTTAATATTTTACATCTACCTTAATATTTATGCATTTAAATAGTCTAACATGAATTGAAACACAATCTGAGCAAAAATATGAACAATTGCAAAAGCCATTTAAAAAAATCTATTCATTTAAATACATTTATTAAATTAAAAATGAATTATTAATTGGATATTGATTTCAATTACATTTAGAGAAGACAATAAATATATGTTTATTTAAAAGTGCATGTCGCAATCAAGCAATAAATAGTAAAAAAAAAAGGCAACAAAAAAAGTTTAAAAATTTCAACAATCAATTGGATGATCTGGGTTTTGTTGGGAAAATTACACAAAATAATAAACAAATAAGGAAAGAAAGAATATTAAGATCAAATGTTACTAATCGCAAAAATAAATAAATAACCCACAAACAAGATTTAGCTTTTTGACCACTGTTTAGGGTCCAGTTCTCACTATTAGCTGCGACTTATGCCTCAATAAACTCCTAATCACTGCTTATTATTAGTTAGTAAGCTATTTGTTAAGTTTAGGTATTGGGAGATCGGATTAGAGATGTAAAATATGTTCATGCCGAATAAGGCATTAATATGTGCTTTAAAAGTACTAATGAACAACCAATAACCTAGTAATTTGCATGCTACAACTAGTTAGCATTGAGAATTGGACCCTAAACTAAAGTGTGGCTCGATCTCCTGTGTGTTTACATACCTTGCATGTTAAAAAAGCCTGGATAAAGGTTTCCCGCTTTAGATCCGGGGTATCCGGTGCCGTCCTGGGTGTAGTCGTCACCGGTGGAGCCTGGATAGGCCTGCCAAGCAGAAGAAAAAGCTGGGATTTAGGTCAAGGGAATGTGATGTGGAATCGTCCAGAAGATGTGGTTCTGCTTTAGGCCACAGTATGTGTGCATGTGCAATAAATTAGGGAACATTCATCGGAGATCAGAGAACGAATCCTGACTCGAGGGAAAGTACAAAATAACCAAACCGACTACAACAACACGTCAATGGACAAGAGTTAGCATACATATGACACTACTATACATTTATTACATATATATTTTTTCTTCTTCGAGTTATAAATGTTTATATATTTATTTAAATTTGCCACTTGACAAGTGCTAATTTCATTTAGAGAAGATAATAAATATGATGTTTATTTAAAACTGCATGTAGCAATCAAGCAATAAATAGTAAAAAAAAAAAAAAAAAGCAACAAAAAAAAGTTTAAAAAATAAAACAATCAATTGGATGATCTGGGTTTTGTTGGGGAAATTACAAAAAATAACAAACAAATAAAAATACACAATATTAAGATCAATGTTAACAGCGCAAAAAAAAAAAAAAAACATCACCACTGTCTTCGGTCGGCTTTAGTTTAAGGGTCCAATTCTCACTATTAGCTACGACTTTTGCCTCAATAAACTCTTAATTACTGCTTATTAATAGTAAGTAAGCTATTTGTTAAGTTTAAGGATGAGTAAGGCCCTATTTCATGCCTTGATTCCTGAATCCAGGCATAAAAACTGAATTTATTGTGGAATAATAATAATAACGTGGAATTTGACAAATCTTGGATGAATAAATCAAAAGCAGGTCAGTTCACTTAAAATAAATCGCACTATAGACTAGTGTCTGTGAAGTTTATTTAATTTCGTATGATTAAAAGCTTAATGTTTTATCCCTTCATTTGATTGCCAGAAAAATTTAAATGCACAACACAGAGGCTTTTTTCACAGGGGGGATTCTTAAATCATTGATTATTAAAATGTTATTAAACCATTAAAATGGAATCAAAAAAACATAAAACAAAACACAGAATTTGAAAAAAAAAAAAAAAAATACAAAAATTGGAATTTGAGAGAAAACAAAAAAACACAGAATTTGTTGGTTTTTTTTAAAAGAAAATAAATGGAATTTGAGAGAAAACAAAAACAGAATTTGGTAAAAAAAAAAAAAAAGAAGAAAAGAAAACAAATGGAATTTGAGAGAAAACAAAAAAAATTGGTATAAAAAATGGAATTTGAGAGAAAACAAAAAAAATTGGTATAAAAAATGGTATTTGAGAGAAAACTAAAAAAATTGGTATAAAAAATGGAATTTGAGAGAAAACAAACAGAATTTGGTATAAAAAATGGAATTTGAGAGAAAACAAAAACAGAATTTGGTAAAAAAAAAAAAAAAAAAAAGAATTGGAATTTGAGAGAAAACAAACAGAATTTGGTATAAAAAAGGAATGAGAGAAAAAAAAAAACACAGAATTTGGTAAAAATAAAAAAAAATAAAAGGAATTTGAGAGAAAACAAAAACTATTTTATAGGGTCCTAAACATGTAATTTATTAAAAAAAGTAATAAATTGTTGTTAAATTGTATAAGTTTCATGATTTCAATTAATAAGATAAGCTTTTTGATTACTAAAATTTAGTTTAACCATTAAAATGGGAGTCCAAAAAAAAAAAAAAAACGAGCGGAAAAAAATGCAATCCAGAAAAATCCAAACGGAAAAAACTAAATATGGAAAAAACAAAACTGATTTCATTCATAGGGCCCTAGATGAGTCACAATGACAGATTAAACTAGCATTTTGTTTCCCTCCATGTTCAACACTTTAATAATAATATTGACGTTTCTGATGTGAAAAGCTTATTTTGATTAAACGGATATAACTAGTAGTCCCTAGTTGGCATTAACAAAGACATCATGTAGAAAACGCTGTATACATTGTTTTTCACCGATACAATACACATGACAAAGTACGCCTGTCTAGACATGAAAGGGTGTTAATATCATGAACATGTGACCAAATTACGAGCCAATTAAACACAACAAAGGGGTCAAATACAAGCAACGCTCCAGTGATCGGATGTCAGAGACGGTAAAAATCCATAGAAAATAAATAAACGGCACAAAATAGAAGAAGAAGAGATGCCGAAGATGATGCATGCACACAAGAAAGAAAGAGAAAGAAAGAGAGAGAAAGAGATGCATTCCCAATTACAGAGCCATCTGCCCATTCCTGGAGACCGGCCAACACCGCAGACAGCTGGAGACGCATGGAGAGAACGAGGAGGAAAAAATGAAAGGAAAGAGAAATAGATGAGGACAGGGAGAATAAAAATAGAGGGACTATTCGAGGGCCGTAGAGACAATAAGACCAGTGTTAAGAACAGTAGTGCAATAACCCAGGCATACGCGGATAAAACTGATGGAAATATACCCGTGCCATTTCTTTGAGATGCTGTTCTAGTTTTATATATACACTTTGAATCAGTCTCTTAAAATTGTAGTTATTTTAGTAATGCTGTTGTTTGTTATGTTAGTAATGCTGATGTTTGTTATTTGTATCAGTGATTGTCAATTTATGTTCGAGTACAGACCGTTTCAAAGCAGCTTTACAGAAAATGCATGTTTCAAATATTAAGATTAAGTTTTACAGGGTCAATCAAGGAAAACAATCATTTAAAAATAATAAAATAAGACATAATTTGCTTTATTTTACAGAAATACTGCGTTAAATAAAAGTTTTAGTGCAAAAATGTTGGTTGTTCTGACCTTGCACTTACTAGTTTTTATGGTTTTTAAGTTGAATCTATAAAAACCGTGAGATATACACTGTGCTCTATATTAATATGCAAGTGACATCAGTAGGATTTCAGTACAATAAACATTCAAATTTTAGTTTTTCCAAGAAAGTGTTTAATGTTTTATTTCTCATATCTTTTAGATAACTGGTATCAATCGACCTTGTAACCAATCAGATCAACGTGTGATCGTCAACCAGTGGATCTCTGAGCTGAGCGAGTGAGTGGAGGCGGGGCTCATTTGCATATTCATAGAACCGCGCATACTAAATGAGGCAAGGGTGTCGAGTTACATTCAAGATATTTTAAGGCATGAAGACAATTCTGACTTTTTTTTCCCAGAATTGCGTGATATTAAATCCCAATTGCGTGTTTTAAATTACTAATTGCGACATAAACATGCAATTCTGAGAAAAAAAAAGTAAAAAAAATTGTGAGATATAAACTCGCATACTTTTTTATTTTTTATTCTGTGGCGGAAACAAGCTTCCATAGGAGAATATGGAAGATTATTGAAGAATATATCAATATATTGAAGAATATATCCTACTGATATGCCACTTACATTAATATGGAACAAGCATACAACAGTAAAATTTGGCTATTTGAGATTCTCAGCTGTGATCAAATGACCGATTAACGGGATAGTTTACTCAAAATGAAAATTAAGTCATCATTTTGTCATCTTTCTAAACGACTAATTTGCTTTATTTTACAGAAATACTGCATTAAATAACAGTTTCAGTGCAAAAATGTTGGTTGTTCTGACCTTGCACTTACTAGTTTTTATGGTTTTTAAGTTGAATCTATAATAACCGTGTGATATACACTGTGCTCTAAATTAATATGCAAGTAGGATTTCAGTACAATAAACATTCAAATTTTAGTTTTTCCAAGAAAGTGTTTAATGTTTTATTTCTCATATCTTTTAGATAACTGGTATCAATCTCAGACAGGTTTGTTAAAGTCCCCCTGTGATGAAAATCCAGCGTTTAATGTTGTTTATGTGTCTATGTGGTGTTTTTAATACGCTTTACGCCATGTGTAAGTTCATAAGTCGACAGCATTGCTGAGTATTTTCTGCTTAAAACAAAAGACAGTCTCAAAAACACGGTTTGAAATCGCTGGTGTTTCTGACGTCACAAACGACCTTGTAACCAATCAGATCAACGTGTGATCGTCAACCAGTGGATCTCTGAGCTGAGCGAGTGAGTGGAGGCGGGGCTCATTTGCATATTCATAGAACCACGCATACTAAATGAGGCAAGGGTGTCGGGTTACATTCAAGATATTTTAAGGCATGAAGACAATTCTGACTTTTCCCCCCCAGAATTGCGTGATATAAAAACCCAATTCCATGTTTTAAATTACTAATTGCGACATATAAACATGCAATTCTGAGTAAAAAAAATCTAAAAATTCTGTGATATAAACTCGGATACTTTTTTATTTTTTATTCTGTGGCGGAAACAAGCTTCCATAGGAGAATATGGAAGATTATTGAAGAATGTATCAATATATTGAAGAATATATCCTACTGATATGCCACTTACATTCATATGGAACAAGCATACAACAGTAAAATTTGGCTATTTGAGATTCTCAGCTGTGATCAAATGACCGATTAACGGGATAGTTTACTCAAAATGAAAATTAAGTCATCATTTTGTCATCTTTCTAAACGACTATGACTTTCTGCTTCCGTGGAACATAAAACAAGAAATTCTGCAGAAGTTGCTCTTGGCTCAACAGACCCAAACTATTATTATTCACTGAAAATGCAAATGTTGTGACGGCTCCTGATCACTGGGATGATTTTATTAAAATAAATAGAGCAGCTGAGAAGCTAAATTTCTACAGAAAGAAAATCATACGATCATATGAGGGTGTGTGTGAATGACGACAACTTTGATTTGAATGAAGTCTGAAATTCAGTGTACAATTGCTGTTTTTTAATACTTTGCGAGTAAATATTGTGTCAAATATTCATTTAATATCCGCTATTGTGCGTACATCTTATATAATTACTGTATTTCCCAGAAAATAAGTAGTACCTGACTAGAAGTCACACTGGGTCAAAATTGCATTATTGATAGAAAAAACCCAATACATTCAGAAGTAACAAAAAGATGTAAAAAAAAAAAAAAGGGGAAAATACATTATACAATTAAACTTGCTCACGTACGTCTCTCATTTCGCTTGTTTTGCATAAGTAGCTTTGAAAAAATATGTATTGTGAAAAGCGTTATACAAATAAATGTGTATTGAATGAAAGTCACAGCATGTTTCAGACAATAACTAGGAGGGAAACAATATATTGTTATACAAAAATGCAACATGTATCGTGGATAGTTCATCCAAAATGGAAATTACTGAGTTTTAGTGTCAGTTCAACATCAAACTACTATATAATGTTAAATATAAATGTACAATAATGCAATGGGGGAATATTTGTGTGTCCTGATAATGCCAAATGTCTGTTACCAGTAAAAAGTGGCTTACATTATTTTAAATCTATCTAATCAGTGAAAGAGTGAAAGCATATTTGTCTAAAATAATTCTGTATTTTCAGCTTCAGGATCATGAATATTGATATTCTGGCGTCTCTATTGTCCTGTGTTGGGTTTCAGCACCAAGTCCAAGACTATTCATTTACACACACAATGTAACATCAAATTTAGCATTTTGGGGTGGTGATGGCGCAGTGGATAAGACACATGCCTTTGGTGTGAGAGACCCGGGTTCGAATCCACTGTGAGACACCAATGTGTCCCTGAGCAAGACACTTAACCCCTAGTTGCTCCAGAGGCGTGCGACCTCTGACATATATAGCAATTGTAAGTCGCTTTGGATAAAAGCGTCAGCTAAATGAATAAATGTAAAATGTAAATTTTTTACCATGTCTTGGAGTATCGCAATAATATCGTATCGTGAGTTCAGCATCGAATCGTGACATGAGGGCATTGTTAACCCCCTTAAAAAAAACATGACTAAGATTTTGGGAAATACGGTAAATTGTATTTATCGCGTTACTTTTTGCTCTATACTGGAAACAAGGAAAACCGAACAGTTTTAAATAGGAAACAGAACATGCACCACTGCCCACGTCAACTCGCCAAGGCCTCGGAGGAATTAGTGGATGAGCACTTTGTCCATGCGAGAGATTTGCAAAGGCAGTGTGTGAGGCAGGGGTGTTTCGACTGCATGCACATGCAAGCAACCATAAAGGGAAGGAGAACATCTGCACACTCCCGTGGAGAAACTATAGGCAGCTCGCAGTATGCATGTAGTGTGTGATATGAGCACTACAGAAAGTGTGTGTGTGTGTGTGTGTGTGTGTGTGTGCATGTGTGTGTTTTGGGTCAGATTGATGGCACGTGGCGTGATAATCTGGGCTCAGACACTAATGAGGCCACGTCGACACTCACCGAAGATATAGACGTCGGCAATCCATGAGGAACCTTCCGGATCTTCTTGGGCAGCGGATCTGAAATGAGCGATCACAAATGCATGCCAAAAACTGATTAAGGTGATCATGATTGATGAGCTGATGCAAAAGATGACACCATGATTTTCAAAAACCACACATTTTCATGAACGCGTGTCGTCATTGCATGTGCTCACGAAACCATAATGCATACGGGAAAATATCACAAAATATGCCACTTGAATATAATACAAGGCTGCAAGATAACACAAATAATAGAATAATATTGCAATTTTTTTAAATAAATGAGCTGCATGCATGTAAATGCAGTGCTGCGATTCATTCTGAAACCAGCAGCGCATATATATATATATATATTAAAGATGCACGATATATCGGCCACCATATCGGGCGATATACAGGAGAAACTCGAAAAATGAGAATATCGTGCAAAAGTTCAGTAATTCAACTTAAAGGTGAAACTAATATATTATATAGACTCATTACATGCAAAGTGAGATATTTCACGCCTTTATTTGTTATAATTGTGATGATTATGGCTTACAGATATGAAAACCTTTTCACAATATTCTAATTTTGAATTTGGGGTTTTCATAAGCTGTAAGCCATAATCATCACAATTATAACAAATAAAGGCTTGAAATATCTCACTTTGCATGTAATGAGTCTATATAATATATTAGTTTCAGCTTTTAAGTTGAATTACTGAAATAAAAAAACTTTTGCACGATATTCTAATTTTTCGAGTTTCACCTGTATGTTTATTTGTAATGTTATCGTTATCGGCCCGATAAAAAAAATTGGCTTATATTTTAAAGCTGATGAATAATGTATTATTTCCTTCAGCTGAGACACTTCAGATGTGCACTGTTCAACATGATGGTTTTGAATGATTTGAAATATGATTGGAATCACTTTGAAAAGGAAAATACAGTAAAGTGCAACACGCGTCAAATCGGCTGCATAAAATTATAATGAGAACTTCATAATTGTGTGCTTAACCCTCTAGGCGCCACGGTCGAGTTTACTCGACAAGATGAGGCACTGAATAAAACGGCCGATTTTGTCAAATTGGGTGTCAAATTTCGTTCGACCTCCCCTCCACTGGATGGCAGACATGTCATATTTCATCCCCGAATCAAAAAAACGTCATGTTTCTATACAAAATGTTCGAGTTAGAGCGCATTGAATCAATGAGATCAAAAGCGGAGCTAGTGTGCGAGTGAGCCATGTTATCAGATCCTCTCCGCAATCGCGGCGACAGTATTGTGGTGGAGACTTTGTCTAATGCCACTGGGTATGTTAGACGAGGTCGAAGTATTCATAGGACAGTTAGGAGACAACGTGGATGCAGGGTGGGGAGTCGCAATGACAATGACAGCAGTCCGAGCTGTGCACACTCGGCGCGCGCTGCGCGAGGCAGATCTGGCCGCGCTGCTCGTATCATCTCACTCATGATCTGTGCGAGTGAGCGTTTGAACTAAACAGGTCTTGTCTACTTGTGTTTGTATGTCATATGAATAATATATATGTGCCCCATACATGGAATCAGAGTGTCTACTGTATTTAGTAAATGGAAAATCTCTACAGCAAAAGGCCAACCACTACATGCATTCGGTTTGTTTCTACCATTTATTAGTAATGATTTACACAGTTTGTTTACTACTTACTATATACCTGAGCATTCAGTATTGTGCAATATAACATACAGAAGGTGATGGACATTTTGGGGGGAAAGAAGTGCTGCATTTTATCATTAAAACATGTGACTTTTCATGAAAATTCTATAATCCAAGATTGCCGCCACCATATGACGTCATAATATGCAAATTAGATGGAAAAATGTAATCCCTACATAAACTTTGGGTCATCCTTAATATTTCTCTAATTTACAGAAAGTCTCTATCTTTTATCACTTTTAAGATATAGCCTTTTGAAATTGAGATGTCAAAATCGAACGTTTTTAGGAAAAAACCTCTGGCGCCTAAAGGGTTAAGACATGGTGAGGCTTTTGTTTTGCAATCGGGCTCTCAAAAGTTATATCAATATTTGGATTTAGATTTATCGGCCAATATATCGGTTATCGGCTTTATATCGGTTATCGGCTTTCAAATATAAAGAATTATCGGTTATCGGTTAACCAAAAATGTCATATCAGTGCATCCCTAATATATATTTTTATAGGCAACATGTCAGAATAAAAGCTCAAAGGGTTGTCGCTTGAACACAAAGAAATTAAGATGTAATTCTAAAGATCGCAATTTTACAGGAAAATAAATATTTGTATTAATTTTTTTTCTTTTATAATTATTTTTATTTTACAGTACAATATTATTCTTACAATATATTTCTTATGTTGTTTAAAATATAGACTATATTTAATAATAGTGGTCATTATGCAAATATTGTTAACAACCAACCAATCACAAGCCAGCATATCTATCAAACCTAAAGCCATGAGGTTGAAATGCACCGATCCAGATCTAGGGCTGGACGAAAATTATTATTTTTTAATTTTTAATCTCATCTCACCAATGTTGGAGTCGGCCGGCCTCCGGCGGTGAGGACTGTAGAACTGAGATGACACTTTCATGCCCGGCGAGGAAAGCCCATCGGACCCTGGGATGTTAATATCACCTGGCAAGAGCTGCGGCTAAAAATAAATAAGAGCTCGATGAAGACGAAACCCACAATTGGTCGCCAACTTAATAACAGCAGATTTGATGTGTTCATTACCTGTGTAACAGGGTATCCTCTTTCAGATTTCCCTGGGGGGGAAAAAACACAAAAAACTCTTGTATTCAGGCAAAACGGTTCAATTATTACAATTGGATTACTTATAGCAAGGGTTATACAGAATCTGAAATAATTTTTTGCTGTCGTTTACATTTTTTTGTGCTGGCTGTATGAAAAAAATCTAAGAAAGTCTGGGAATGCATTGAGCACGTCAACATGAAAAAGCATTAGCAACTTATTTAACTTCAATAATGTGGCACAAATCTGAGCGAAACAGGATACTTGAGGAGAAAAGCCAGGACTTACAGAACAGATTGATGAAAGCTAGTCAAATTTGAATTAATATTGCCGTTAAATACGGTAGTGCTGATAATAATCAAACATTACTATTATTAATGCATTAAAACTTTCCCCTTCCAATTCGATATATATATATATATATATATATATATATATATATATATATATATATATATATATATATATATATATATATATATATATATATATATAATTTAAATGAATTAGATTTATATTTACTATATATATTAGGGCTGTCAAACGATTAATCGCGATTAATCACATCCAAAATAAAAGTTTGTGTTTACATAATATATGTGTGTGTACTGTGTATAATTATTTTTAATACATAAATGCCCACACATGCATGTGTATTTAAGAAATATTTGCATGTATATACTGTATATAGACTGAATGTAGCCTATATATAATGTATATTTTATATAAATATAAACATTTCATATATAAATAACATTTTTCTTAAATATATACATGTGTGCATTTATATACAAAATAATTATACACAGTACACACACATATATTATGTAAACACAAACCTTTATTTTGGATGCGATTAATCGTGATTAATCGTTTGACAGCCCTAATATATACATATATATAGTAAATATAAATCTAATTCATTAAAAAAAAAAATATATATACATATATATATATATATATCAATTAAAATGACTTTAATTTTATATATATACATATATATATATATATATATATATATACAGTAATATTTATAAATATTTTTAATGTTAATATTTAAATATAATTAAAGTAATTTTAAGGCATTAAAACTTCACTCTAGTTCACACACTTAAAATTGTAATATAATTAAATGTATAAATAAAATTACACACATACATGCATATATATTAGGGGTGGAACGGTACATGTATTCGTATTGAACCGAAACGGTACGGGCGTCACGGTTCGGTGCACGAATTTACACGGAGAATACACGGTATAAAAATAAATAAAACTCGCGTGCAAATTAATTAATGTAATGCGGAACTACTGTTAGATACGCGGGTTCTTTAGGGACACATAATCTGTACCATCGGCTTAGCTCTGAACTAGGGGTGGGGGAAAAAATCGATTCTTAGATGCATCGCGATGCGGATGTGGACGATTCTGAATCGATTCACAATTGTCAAAAATCGATTTTCAAAAAAAAAAAAAAAATTTAGATATATATTTATAATAACGTAATATTGACGGAACGCGAAAGACGGAACTCTGAAGCGCGGAAGTGCAGTGGCCGGACCGTCTGTGGCGTGCACATAACAGACGCGGACGCGATGGCTGAGCGCCAAATCCAAACACCCTCCTCGTTAAAAGCTGACGTGTGGAAATATTTTGGCTTCTGAAGTTGAAGGGGGAAAGGAGCTGGACAAGAGCCACACTAGTTGTAAGCTTTGTAGAGTAAAACTAAAATATTTCGGAAACAAGACACATATGAGAAGCCATATGACACGTTTCCAGCCAGAGGAGGAAAAACACTCGGCTGTAACGTTACCGGTCGTTGTTATATTATTAATTTACTACAAATATGCTGCTGCTAGTTCAGACACGCATGTATTTTCCTGTTGGTTCTTTGCAATGTTAATAAAATATATTGTACGTTAATTCTTTATGGGTCATTACTTTGTACTTT